CCAGTGCACTAAATATCAGACAGCAAAGGACACTGTGACAGAGCCCCTCATTTAAATCACTTCATTGTCTTCATTCACTATCAGGCAATTAAACGAAGAAATCAGAAAAACAGTCTGTCTTTATTCATCATTATATACTGTAGCTTAACCTCGTATTTCATTAGGAGTTAATAGTCGTAGACAGTCACATAAGAGCGGCAAATTGCTAGTTTCTACTTGCCTTTTACAGCAACGATCATCAGTGACATTTGCCAAAGGCCAGAAACTTTCTAAGCAGACACTGTGGGGGCTGGACTTTCAAGAAAAATAATTATTTAGGCCTAACTGCCATAATCTATTTTTATTACCCTGCATCAGAATGAACTAACAGAGCATGTGGAAAAAATACAAAAATTTTATTACTGTTTTTAAAACAACATCTCTGACAGCCCCTGTATTCACACAGTGCCTAAAACCAACCCTAGGCTACTGCTATTCACTGTTCAACCCGGCGAAGCAACCACAGCTTTGTGAGCGAGGTGCACCTGACTCCTGCATCGGGTTGTGTAGGCTGCTCGCTAATAACCAGCTGACAGAGGGATTTGTAACATCTTTAGAACTCACATATCTGGGGTCAGTAAAAAACTCCTAATAAAATTACTTTACTCAATTACTCAATTGTTTTTGGGGTTTTGTAAGAAAAAGTTCTAGATACCAGAACTTAATTTTCCTAGTCATGTTTTCTGATTTAATTCGTAGACTGTGGGCTGGACAGAAAGCTTTAGCAGGATGAATGTGGCCCGTAGGCCACCAGCTGGTGATCAGTGTTTTACAGCCTAATAAATCATGAAAAAACAGTTGACATGATTAACTCTCTGAACACCTGATCATTTCATTTGGCACCAGATTTATTGTCCTGATTCTAAAGTTAATTGTGTGACATTCAAGCTTAATTACATCTTAGTTTAATTTGGTTTGATACTCAATTGAAGTCCAAGTGGGAAATGCATGTTATAACTTTACCCAAGGATTATGTAATTAAATTACATGAGGAGGATGAATGATTTCTGACTGGGAGGCTACTTGATTCCAGGACATCCAGTTCAGGCAGGACCCGTTTTGTAATCGTGCAGCCCTGTTGACTGTGCCTTCTCCAAAGATGGATCAAAGTGTTAATTTTCAGTCCGTCTGTTTAATCGTTCAGTTTGTAAAATGCGTCCAACTGGTTGCGTTCTCAGAGCATCAGGTGTTATCTTAAACTTTCTGTCAGTACATAATCCCCCTTAAAATTCATCACTAAATTCAATGGTTTGATGGTGATTTACAGCTTTAATTGTTTTAGAAATTAAATCTGTGACATGGTTTATGCCATTGTTATTTTGTTTTATGTGACTAGACTGTATGTCAGTGATGCCAAATATATTGGCTTGATGAAGATGAGGCAGTCCATTGTGAGTAGGACGCCAGTATCCTCTCCTCAGTGAGCACTGACAGCAGCTGTTAGGTCTGTGTGACCACAGGCCTCTGAAAGGCCCTTTTTTGCCAGGACGAGAGTCTCCACTTCACAGCCATGAATAGCAGTCCAGCTGCACTTGTGTGTGTGTTTCTGTGTGGGTATGAGGCTGGGATTCATCTGAGCGGGGTCTTTGTCCCACAGTCTCCCTTTCCTCAGCATGATTTGTGGGGAATTTACATGACAACACAAATGGATGGTCTGTCAGTAGCATCCTTTAGTGGAGCGTGTAGATGCCTCTAGCTCACAGCCAAATGTCGGAGGGCGAGGTCACCTTGAGCCACCCAGCAGTTATGTTACTGAAGGTGACTGTTATTAAAGGAAATGATTTTTTTTAAATAATCTGTGTTGTAGTTTTAGCTGCCACTCACCTTCACTGGTGATATTTGGGGATGCAGTGAATGTGCTAGATGGTGGTTTCACAGCAGCCTCTTTTAGACAGAGATTCCTCTATATTGGGAAAAAAAGCTACCCCTCCTTCATGTAGCTTTGCCTGTTAACACTGAACTAAAAGAAAGCTGGCATAACAGATACTGACATCTGGGCATTAGAGGTGTGACATTTAATGTGATGTATTTAAAATACACTTTGCAAATACAACGCATACCGTGACTGTTGCTTTCAAAATGATGATGAAGAGTAACGGCGTAGGGCTGATCTTATGTTGGTCTTACACATTTCTGACATGATTTGGACTAAAAGTTGTGCATAATGTGGAACATGTTAATGATTATGGTCACTGATTCTGTGTCTTGTGAGTGATGTTAAAATTTTAATCCCCTGGGAGAGTGTCGCAGAAACGCTTCATCAAGACTTCACACACCACCACCCACAACCATGGATGTATTATGAGAGCTGGATACAAGCTAACAATTTTAAGTGGGAAGAGTGGGTGCCATTTTGTAATCTGGTATCCAGTTCTCATTAATACATCCATGTCCACACATCCCCAAGCTGCTTGTCCCCTTTTATGCAAAGGAAGTGGAACCTTTGTGCCAGGTTTGGTGCAGTAATCCTACCTGGAACAGGCAGTGTAAACAGGGCTAATGACATACAACCAGTCAGGTTTTAAAGAGTTTAATCATATTATCCAGACTTCTAAGTATTAATGAATCATGTGGCAAAGGGACTGCACACACAGAACATTACTAAAACATTTGAAGCCTCCAGATTAGCTTGTCTGAGCATCACTAGATGCTAGGATTTGTCTGAGGAGCGTAGGTCAGTTGGCAGTTAATCTGGCTGAACAGATCATTATTTAGATGTGATTTTAATTGCTTAAGCCTGTTTTCTCAGACTCCTGAGCTAATTAGGCTGTTAAATGAGGCACCTTCTTACCCGTGTCCAACTTAACATGGCCAGTATTAAATCAGAATCGGCTTTATTGGCCAAGTGTGTTGAACACCAGGAATTTGACTCTGTGTGCACGTGCAGTGTTCTCCCGTAAAACAACGTGTAAACAAGATAAGACTGAGAAAGCAAAAAAGAAAAATGTGCATTAGGAAAATAAGAATAAAGTGCTTATATAGAAATATATATATAATATATATACACACACACACAAAACCAGTTTAGATGGAGTAATGCATAAAGGCAGTGATTTAAAATTGTAATCAACAAAGACAAGATTGCAGTCTAAACATTTTAGTGCTGTTACATTTCAAACAAAGAACAGGTGGTAGGTAATGAATGGAAAAGTCACAGCTCAAAATATGTCATTTGTAGAGAGTGATTTTTTTTTTTCTTAGAAATGTTTGTGAAATAGAAAACACAAATTGAAAACAGATGGTGCTGTGTTGTTGCTTCATTCTACAAGCAGAATCATATCATGTATCAGTCACATTCAGCCCTTCCAACAGTAAGAGCACATAGTCAACGTGCAGGAAAATCTCCTAATACAACTGTGGGTAAACGGTATAATAATTATGGTGGTGGCTGGTATTTAAGAGGCTCTACACTGTAAGGCTCCATTGATATGGATCATTGAGCTGTAATTTTCCTCTTCATGGGATCTGATAGAACTGGCACTAGGAAATAAATTGTGTAGAAACCTGGTGTTGCTATTAAGAGACTGAAGGGTCACGGGAGCTGCTGTTTAGGGGTGTGACGAGGTCTCGTGCCACGAGGAGTTGCAGGGGGAGTGTTGTAGGCGTGCACAACATGGTCAGGTTGTGATGAGTCCACCTGAGTGGCTTCATTCACGTTTGCAGCCTGTGAGCTTCTGTTGTATTTTAATCAGCCATGCTGCTAAGGTAGACTACTCTACCTTAGCAGCAGTTTTTATTAGTGTGTCACCACTGATAGGTGAACAAACTCCATTTAACATCCAGTACCCTAAGTACTGAAAACATGGCATCGTTATGGTGCATTGACTGTGACCCAAATTTGACAGTGAATAGAAGCTAATGCTCATGTTAACAAGGTAAAAAAAAGTTTTCTTCCCGTTGGCGGCGATGCTCCGATTGTCCCCCGTACATGATTGGTCAATGCAGTCTTTGCCGGATGATGTCACCATCTGGTGCGGCAAAAGTTGAACCAGACCAACTTTTTCACTGCACCAGGTTGCATCGTTTTGCCGGAGACATTCATTATAAGATTAGTTCAAACATTTCAAAATGCACCTGAATTGTTTTGCATTTTGTCACTTTCAGTCGAATAAAACATTATTTTTCCATTCATCTATTTTTGTCATTGAGGATTTCTTCAAATTTGTGTTAAAATATCATCGTCCCGTTCTCGTGAACCCGGTATCGTGTATCGTCACACTCCTGCTGCTGTGGCATTTGGACTGTAGGTTTTTTTGTTCCATTAAACTTAAATTACATATGACAACTATTACATTTATAGTCACTGACAGCACTAATGAGACTTTACCTGATTAAAGCAGTAGATACATAAATGATCTCCCACTTGTCCATCAGTTCAGTCAGTGTAATTAAAATGCAGTCTTTGAGAGTCTGTTGGCTCCTCTACCCACGGAGGGAAAATTAACCACCAGCAAGTCTGTGCTGGCAATTTGACCACTGTTTCTACTTCATCAGCTCCTTTGCTGCCATTCAGACTCATATCTAGATGATGTTTTTCCACACTAACAGTGTTATTTACACGGCTAAGTTGAGTAAATTGCTTGTGAATATTGTATTGCAGCGAAGGCTGCTAGTTGAGCCTTATGTCCTCCCTGCTTTTCCACTTGCAGTGCATCCTCACTCTGTAGTTCAAGCCTACCCGGGTCCCCTGGTGCTGTGTAATTTCACATCTAAGCAGCAGGGCTCTCTGGGAAATGCCAAATCCTGCATGTGGATGATGTTTTTGCATGAAACGTTTCATGTCTTGGAATCACAAATGTCCTTGAATTTGGAGCCTTTTGATGTTTTCCTTACAGTCTAGTCTTCTCTGTAGACATGTCCTAGTTTTATGTGAACATTCAGCATTTTATTCTGCAAAGATCTTTTCTAAAGCATCCTAAAAGTGAGCTCTAACCTACCTTCTTCTTGTGTCTCCTCTTCAGTAAGCATGTTTCTCAACACCCTGACGCCTAAGTTTTATGTGGCTCTGACGGGCACGTCCTCCCTCATTTCAGGACTTATACTGGTAAGTCTTTATCCGATTATACTGAAGCCAATACCAGTATCGGATTTAAAATGTTATGATGTTTGTAGTGATTTTAGTAGCAGTATTGATTTATGTAAAAACTGATGTTTCACATCACAGATAGCACCTGTTGAAAATAATTGTTCTTTAATGTGCACTACTGAAACTTCAGATGCGAGTCTTGGTTAATTGCCACTGTATTTAAAGATGCATTAGCTAAGATTTTACACACAGTTTTTCAGAGGTGGCTTTCTAAGTGACTAAAATCACAGGTTCAGAGGCCACAAGGAGCTGAAGAGAGAAGAAATACATAGTGAGGCACTTTTGCCTCAGCTCCTCTAGAGGCCAGTGCAAAATGTTGCATATATGAGATGTGGTTGTGTTTCAACGGCTTTGTGAAGAGTCTTAGCTGCTTGCATCAGTATCCCAGTAAATGTGGAACAGGTAAAGAAGCAGGGAAGCAATGTAATGAAACTGTTAGCAAGGCTTTTCCTACTTATGCAGGTGTTTATCTCTCATCCAAGTTCTTAACAGAGACAGACAACTGTGCAACAGTGGCTGGTCTGTTTTCTAAAATAGCTCCTCTCTTAATTAACTCCCTCTCTTTCCTGTGGGCCCAACAGGCACAGGCTGCCCAGAGATGGCGTTGAGCTTGGTACATGCTGTGCGAGATGATTAAAAAATGTGGAATGCGGTTGGTTCCGTTGGAGCTGTACTGGTCATGTCTCTGCAACTGGAATAAATGTTTATGTCCCAGTTGTAGATCTCTCAAGCACAGGCTGACAGTTAACACTTTTGCCAGCTGGGAGTCTGTACACCTGTTAAAATAGCTCTCACCAATAATCTGAATTTTTTTTTTTACATTTGGTCATTAAAACTAGATATTTTTGACCATGAATGGTTCTAGTTATAGGACATTTCCTCCACTTCATTTTGTCCCTTGTTTTCTACATTGTTTGGCCAGGACTCTCTTAACATTCATAGCTGGTCTTCTGCAGTTACGCACTGAGCAGCTCCGGCACATCAAATTGATGTTTGTTAAGGATGTGGAGAGTATTTTTTATCTTCACTTTGCATTTCAGGAGTTCCACAGCTGCTCTGACAGTTTAAACCACTAACCTTCACATATTGTGAAGGTTGCTGGGTGTTTTCACTGGGCTCATCGGTCATATGGTGTGTTTGAAACTAGTCTATATAAATATATGTGGTACATGCTTTAAGTAGGGTGATGCAGACATTTAGGTAAATGGACTGCACTTCCACTATATGGCACTTTTAACTTGAGAGCACAGCAGAGTGTTTCACTGTGCTTCTAATTCACCCAAACACATGAACATCAGGAACGGTCTGGAGCTGGGCATCTTGCTGGTAGACAACTTAACTCTTAGATGAATGGGCAACCAGCTCTGCCGTCAGAGTGGTCGTCGGACAGGTGCCATCATGACCCCGCAGTCTACAGAGTTTCAGTCCATCAGAAGGTTTCACTGATTAGTTCCTAGACTTCAGGTAAAAGTGGTAATTGGTAACATTTTGGAGAAGCACACTCTTGGGCCTCTGTGGCACAAAACTGAGACTCCCTGGTGCAGACAGTGTTAACCACTGAAGTAGCTTAGTTTATACTGATGAAAGTCATAAAGATGTGCTGAATGAAGATGGGGAATAGCTGGTGGTAGAAGAAGTACTCGGTTCATTTATTAAAGAGGCCATGGCATGCTCATTTCCAGCCATTTAATTTTTAATCTTGGGTACCTCTAGATTAGCTTTGCACCGAAATAGTCTGTAATTATATCAGAACAATAAAACCCGATATCACAAGAGAGCCTCCTTCTGAAAACGAGAGGATAGTTTGTGAAAATGCACAACTCCTGTTGCTGGTCAGGAGGCCAGGGCAACGAATCAGCAAAAAACTTTGACAGATAAGCTCTGTTTTTGACAATGGCAATACCTCAAATCCTACCTGACATGTTCGAGCCAGAGTATGAAAGTGGACAGCACAACGAACCGCAAAATAAAGTCTTATGGTTAAACTTTATTTAGTTTTATTAATCAGATTCTGAAACAAGGTTATCAAAAGTAGTGGAGTACAAACTACAGTATTTGCCTCTGAAATGTAGTGATAGTTGAAGTATTAAGTAGGAGAAAATAGAAATACTCAAAGCACAGATACCTCAGTACAGTGCTTGAGTAAATGTATTTTTTTATGTTCCAGCCACAGCCTAAGCACTACCGAAGTTCTTTTGGCTGACAAGGTATTTTTGTTGTATTTGGAAAAAATCTGATTAGCTGTTAAAATATTAAAAGTGACCTGGATGTTTTAGAGGACTTAAATTACTTTAGTAAAGACTTAGAGTAGATGCAAGTTTTAAAAATAATATGAACATTTTTGCAGATTCACTTTCAGCTGAACTGTCATTAAATGAAACTCTAAACGTTTAGATTAAAGATTCTCTGTTGCTCCCTTTTCCTCAGATTTTTGAGTGGTGGTATTTCAGGAAATATGGGACTTCCTTCATAGAGCAGGTGTCTGTGAGCCACCTGCGCCCCCTGCTGGGCGGAGTGGACAGCAGCTCTCCCAGCAACTCCAACACCAGTAACGGGGAGGCCGACTCCAGTCGACAGAGTGTGTCAGGTAAGAGCTGATGTACAGAGCTGTGCCCCAGAACAAAAGCTTGCTCTTGGCCCGAAGGTAATGGCATTTTCCCCCCAGGGTACCCAGAACATAGGCAGCACTCTAGAGCTGAAATGATGAATGAATTGACAGAAAATTAACTGGCAATTATTTCAGTAAATTGCTTGTTGTCTAGCAAAAATGCCAGAGAGCACCTGGCAATATCCACTTGGATATGGCTCATCAAAAAGCTTAACCTACACTATCATGGCACAGTCCAAGTCCCTGGAGAGAACCCACACAGGCACAGGGAAGGACAGTGGTTGATAATAAAAAGTCTTAGTGTCCCTAAGAATATGGACTAACACTTAAAAAATACACCAGCACATATCAGCACAGACTCCTTCAGGATGTGTCTGACGTACGTGTGCTGATACACGTGTAAGAGACGTGACGTGGCCCACTTTTGTTCTCAGTCAAACACCTGTGAGTTAAATCGGATTATGGAACCAACAAGTAACACTGAGAGAAGAAAGGCAGCGCAGTCACTGCAGCTGGACTAATCCTCGGTTTCCTGACTAATAATCTACCCTGTGTAAACTCCTCCACTGAAGCTGAAGATGCAGGTTGTAGCTTATTATTTCTTTGTTACAGCAGAAGACAAACGGAGAGAATCTCAGACGGAGTCACTTGATTAATTGGTTACATGGCTGCACTAGTACAGCGTGAAATCAAGTGTGTGGGGCCAAGTGTTGATGCGTCTTCTTTTGTACTGGGGAGTTTGGGTCTCACATGAAAGTGCCGACTCAGTGGCTTTTCTAGTCACATTTGTGCATGCCTGCCGTGACTTATGGATCAGTGATTAGAATGAAAGGAAACAACTCAATGGCTAAAATCAGTTCAACGATCATCAGTTCTGCATCAAGGCAGAATAAACATCTGCTGGCTCCTGCTTCTCAGACACGATGACTGGCTGCATTGAGAAAATGTGAGACAGAAGAGAGGTCAGTTCGTGTAAACACACATGAGACGCACTAAAATATCAGATGTTTTCAAAAGTGATTTTAAAAACGGAGCGATCCTGATGTTCGTGCCCTGATTTTGGCAGAGCTCCAAAAACGATCTGTCCTACACTCCCCACAGTGCACCTTGATTGTGTAAATCCTTTCTGCCTGTTAAACACCCATGTCTTTGTTCCACAGACTTTAACTTGTATAACGCTGGTAGCCCATGATGATTTACATGTCGCTCAGCTGGTTTTGCACAGTACAGCTCATGATGAATAAACCTGTGCAAAATCAGTTTTCTCTAAATACACAATGTGCTCGTCCAAGTCTGGAGATATTTTTTAGTGTCACCTGTGTGAATACGTACAGTCACAGCCTGTGTCCTGCATTCATCGGTTCAGGGCTGTTTGCCAATGCATGCGCTCAGGACTGTTTCTGAAAGCAAGTGCAGTAGCGTGTTTGGTCATTGAGGAGTTTTACGGCCGTTTCCCCATCAGCCGTGCTCTGAACGAGCTTGATGAGCCAGTTGGGGAGCTGCAGGGCGGGTGGTACGTAGGAAGCATGCCAGCAAGGCTCACTTTGCCCTTGACTGTCCTCACCGGTGTTGTTCTCTCTCTGTCTCCCTCCTGCAGAATGTAAAGTATGGAGAAATCCACTGAATTTATTTCGAGGAGCAGAATATAATCGGTGAGTGACGGCGGCTAAGCTCCCTGTCTCTGCAAACCCTCGGCTGGTGTGGGGCTTCTACTTCCTCCTGCTCTCTGAGCTGGACGTCTTCTCTCTATGTTTTTCTAATCAGTCTTTCTTCTATTTTCTCCTCTTTATCTATATCTGATAAACAGTTTCTCCTCTTGTTGTTCTTTTGGCTGTCCATCTGTTTGTTCTTTCTCCTGATCAGCTCCTTTCTCCACCTTTTTTTGTCTGTCTTTAATTAATTTGACGTCTTCTGTCCCTTCTGATTTGCTCTCATTAGTCATTTTTCCTGTCTCCTCTCTCTGAAGTCTCTGCCTCCTGTTCCTCCCAGTGACTCAGCCTCCACTTTTCTGTTACTCATGTTGTAATTATTCTGTCTCTGTCCCTGTCAACCCGCATCCAGAGCTCCATCTCTTAACTGTGGCCAATCAGAGTCGAGTACAACGGCCATTAATTCACCACAACCCAGCACTCTATTTTTTTTCTGTTGACAGTATCTAACATCTGAACGAGTACATTTTGTTCGGATACTTCTGTTGTTCCCACTGTTGTACTGGAACGGCCAGTAGCTTTTTCTTAATGCGTCTTATTTTGTGTCTGTGCTGGTGTCCAGGTATACGTGGGTAACTGGTCGAGAGCCGCTGACATACTATGACATGAACTTGTCAGCACAGGACCACCAGACCTTCTTTACCTGCGAGTCAGACCACCTGCGGCCTGCTGACGCTAGTAAGAATACACACAGCGTGTACAACCCAGATGTGTTGGTGCATGTGCATAGGTGGTACTACTATATATGACCCCTCTGCTTCTGTGTGGTGGCAGTCATGCAGAAGGCGTGGAGAGAGAGGAACCCACAGGCCCGCATCTCTGCAGCACATGAAGCTCTGGAGCTCGAAGAGTGAGTTCACTCCCTCTTCCTCACCCAGGCAGGAGTGTTGACATTTAACAAAATGTTTATATGAAAGCAAAAGTACAGTTAAACTGAGTTTGTCTATCAAATGATCTGTGCTCATGGTGTTGACAATTAGAAATATTAACCTGCTTAAACAGTGGAAACTGGTCCATGTTTCATATTCCCATCAAAACCTTTAATGTTCTTCTGGATGAACAGGTGGATTTGGTTCTCGTTGTCGACCAGTGACCTACCTCAAGCTCAGTGTTTGAAGGCCAGACACAGTTGTCAACCCCCTCCCCTTTTAGCCATTCGATCCGTTTCTCCTTGTCAGTCTTTGATTTGAAGGATTTTTAGATGCAACAGTAACAAGTCAGATTTTTCTGTCTGACCCCTCAGATTTAACTTGGGATGCAGTGAAGGGTCAAACAGCAGGTTAGGAACCGATGCTATAATCAACCAACTAAAAATCAACCTTGTAATTACCTAATAGGTTTGTGCATTTTCTACACCTTTTTTTCAAATCATTTTTCATTTTAAACTACAGATGTCAAGCAATAAACACAGTTTCTTGCCGCATGTCATCCCAGATCGACTCTCTGGGCGCCTGCATCCTTCACAGGCGAAGACACCAGCCTCACTTGTTTTCATGGCCAAGCAGGTTTATTTTTAGTTGCGCCTGCGACTACAAAGGCAGCGCGGAGGAGTTGTGGTAGCGGCCTGTGCTGCTCTCAGCTCCTATCAAGGCCGTCTTTGATCAGTGCTCTGTCAGATGCTGCTTACAAACACACATACAATCAGTTTTCTGGTGTGAAGATGCTGCGCTGTGGACCGACACAGTCCTGAGTTGGTAACCTGATGAGTGACTCTATGTGATGTGAGGAGCAGGTTGTTTTTCATTCCCTGTTTAACAGACAAGAGAATTACAAAGAATCATATTCAGAGTTAATGTGGCAAACTATAACCAACAGTGTTGTAAGCCGATTGCTCCTCTGTTGTCTCTTCCTCCTTCTTGACTCTTGTCATGTTCTCTAAACCTGTTTTTTCCTGGATTTTCTCTCATCTCCTGACAACCTCTCTCCTGTTTCCTCCCATCTTGTTGGACCCCTGTCTTCTATGATGTCTCCTCTTTTATCCTTCCTTCTATCGTCTCCTTTTGCTTCTTCTTTTCTTATTTACCATCTCTCATCTTGTTCTCCTGTTTCTTCTTTACTATTTCGTTTTCTCCCCTCTCCTGTTTCCTCATCTCTCCCCCTTCCTTCCCTCTTGCTTCTCCTCTCCTCCTGTAGTTGTGCCACAGCGTACATCCTCCTGGCAGAGGAGGAGGCCACCACCATCATGGAGGCTGAGCGTTTGTTTAAACAGGCACTAAAAGCTGGCGAGAGCTGCTACCGCCGCAGCCAACAGCTCCAGCATCATGGTACACAGTATGAAGCCCAGCACAGTGAGTCGAATGTGCTTAGTCTCAGCAGAATGTGGCCGTAGCACACTTCCTGAGCCTCTGAGAGTTGTACTGTTAAATACATAAAGTGATGAATTTCTGTAATTTATACATATTGAATCTGCAGCTTCACATGTACTGAGCACTGCAGAAACATGGGGACTGGTTCATCATGTTCCTGTTCTCATTAGAAGGACCTGAACTGATGCATGTGTGTGTCTCCACCAGGAAGAGACACCAACGTGCTGGTATATATAAAGAGGAGACTGGCCATGTGCTCCAGAAAGCTTGGCCGAACACGAGAAGCAGTTAAAATGATGAGAGATGTAAGTACATGCCCTGCCTGCAGAACGCACACACGACAAACTAGTGAAGAGGACTGACAGGAGGCTGATCTTTGATCAGTTTGACTGTCATTAACAGAAAAAACACACACATCCAGCACACATCCAGCACTCAGATTACAGTGTACTGTAACTGCACAGCCATGGCCCACAGCTCTTGTGTGCTCACTGTGCATGTGTCGCCCCCTGCCTGGTATTACATGTAACAACAGTTATGTGTTTTCCAGTTAATGAAGGAGTTCCCTCTCCTCAGTATGTTCAACATCCACGAGAACCTACTGGAGTCGCTGCTGGAGCTCCAGAACTACGCCGACGTCCAGGCTGTTCTGGCCAAGTATGATGGTGAGGACACACACACACATTCATGCTTTTATTTGTGTTCACATAGAAAATAAATAACCTGAATTATTGATCTTGATCTTCATGTGATGATTCGCAGCCACGTCCAGTGGCTCTTTACAAGATTTTTTTATTCCAATAGTTATGTTCTCTCCCAAACATTTGACCTACAAGTAGAACTTTATTTTCCATTTAACTTCAACTTGAACTACAACTAAATATTATCAAGCCATTATTTATCAAAATGTACTTTTGTACACTCTTATCTTTCATATTAAATGAGTAAGAAAGTCCCTAATGATCAGCTGCTGTACATCCAGAGCCTCAGTCATTAGTGATGTTTGTTCTACGTTATGGTCAGTAAGCCAAAGCCAGCTTTTTATTTGGGCATATTTCTCTCTTTTCTCTTCTGACATTTAAATAGAACAAATGAAGAACTGAGGAAAATAACTGTATCCTAGTGCCAATCATGTAGATGTACGACACTGATCGCACTGATTGATCAGGTCGCCTTGTTTCTAACACTGGTAATGATGCAGGCTGATGATCCACAGTGACAAACTGCAGCCCTCCCCTCTCTGACCACCACCTGTAATCCAAACTTCTGCTCCGTTCACTGAACGCCCCCTCCCCTCTGTCTGTGTCTGCCTTTTGTCTCCTCCACAGATATTAGCTTACCCAAATCTGCAACAATATGCTACACAGCAGCGTTGCTTAAAGCCAGGGCGGTATCGGACAAGTGAGTATCACTTTTCTCTGGCTACAGTGCTCATGCAGGGGCCTGACATCCAGTAGCTGTGCTGCTATTTAAGAGCTTAAAGTTGAGCTGATAATAGCCAAGGGAGCTGTTCGGTGTGAATGAGAGAACGGGGCTGAGCGGGGGTGTAGTCACAGTGGTTAGCAGTAATTTTGTTCTCTAGAACAGGGTGTGAGAAGTGAGAGTTTGTCTCAGTGGAGCACCCAGAGGTGCACGAATATTGGCAGTGCAAAGATAAAACGATATACACAAGGTGACGTGAACACACATTTTTTGTATTTGCAGCTTTATCTTCACACACCTTTTCATTTATTGCATTTAAGTGATGATTTTAGAGATGTTCCTGCATGGCGTGAAATGTCAGCGATAGGTGCACAGGCTCAGAAACACACAATGTCCATCACTTGTAGACAATGGTTGTTCCTCACACCTTCATCAGGCTACATTTATATAGACAAGCCACACCTATAGAGGCTATAGAGGGCCGTAGAGATGGCGTGATCTTTAGAATAGAATAGAATGCCCTTTCTGTCATTGCACAATGACCTGATAAAAGCTACAGCTGTACACGGTGCAAACTGAAATGTAAGCAAAGCACCAAATATTCCAAATAATAAAATCACAACTGCATCAATCACATCAATAATAAATAGTAACTAACATGCTCCACTAGTAATGTAACAATCCTATGAGGAGTTCAGAGTTCTGATGGCCCCGGGGAAGAAGCTGTTTGCAAGTCTGTTCTGCTTTTTATGCTCCTATACCTCCTACCGGAGGGCAGTAAAGTGAACGGTGAGTGACTACGGTGGGAGGAGTCATGTATGAAACTCCCGGCTCTGCTGAGGTACTGGGAGTGAGAGATGAACTCCAGGGAAGGCAGAGAGCGGCCACTGATTTTCTCTGCTCTGTCGGCCAACCTGGAGGTTAGCATCGCCCTGGTCCCCTGAGCCCTTCAGAGAGGAAACACATGACACCGAGCTCTTCCAGTTGTAAACGTACATAATGAATTTATGAGTATCAGAGAAAGTGAGCAATATCACACAATAAGGCCGAGTAGGGACACTAATAGTAAGAACACGTTACCAATCAGTTCTGTTACACCTTGTATTTGGATCTAAAATGTATTTTTCTCCTCTGACCCTCGTGTTTGTTGATCCAGATGTACTGAGCCCATCATTTTCCAGAAACGGGATTTACATGATGCAACTTTCTCATGCACAGCAGCTAGTGATGTGCAATCCCACATCTGATTTCTGAAGTGTGTTTTTGTGTGTGTGCAGGTTCTCTCCAGAGGCAGCATCCAGGCGAGGGCTGAGCACAGCAGAGATGAACGCAGTAGAAGCCATCCACAGAGCGGTGGAATTCAACCCTCACGTCCCTAAAGTGAGACTCAGAGAAGAGAAGCACTCCACACTACACATTGGAACTTTGTTGGGGAGTAATTCTTGTGAATGGTAACAACAGAGATACTGCAGCAGAACATAGCCTACTGTAGAACTAAAGAAACCACTAGCCTAGCTAATATGTACTGAATTAGCTAAGTTACGTTAGCCAAGGAAGCTTGTTAGTTGATGTTACATAAATATTATGTTCTAAAGGTTAGAATTTCCAACAGTTTAGTTTTTATTTGAATTCATTTTCATTTTGTCCTGTTCTTCCCTTCCTGTCTCCTCCTCAGTATCTGCTGGAGATGAAGAGTCTGATTCTTCCTCCAGAACACATCCTGAAGCGAGGCGACAGCGAGGCCATCGCCTACGCCTTCTTCCACCTGCAGCACTGGAAAAGGGTGGAGGGGGCACTCAACCTGCTGCACTGCACCTGGGAGGGCAGTGAGTACACACCAACCCACACATGGCTGCAGAACATAAGGCCCACTCAGTCTTGGCATTTTGATTCCAAGCTGAATGTGTTCATGATTTTGTGTGTGTGTGTGTGTGTGCAGCATTCAGAATGATCCCGTATCCTCTAGAGAAGGGTCACCTGTTCTATCCCTACCCCATCTGCACAGAGACGGCCGACAGAGAGCTGCTACCCAGTAAGATGCGCCCTGACACACACACACACACACACACACACACACACACTGGATATTTATACAGCACAGCACTTATTATAAAAAGTCCACAGGTGATGAAACAACTAAACTGTGACAGGGTTCCAGATGTGTTTGCAGACATTTTTTGTTAATTGGCCTCAGGAGCACAGACATCAGCCGATGTGCACGTGCTGATAACCTGATAACAGGCATGAAGTCATCACTGTCGAGTGTCTCAGGAAAGGTTCTGCTTGTAACAGCAGCCAGTAGATGTACGTGATGGAAATGTTTCACTGGCAACTAACATTGTGTTTGTGTTTGTGCGTCTGTCCCACGTGGAAGCAGTGTTTCACGAGGTGTCGGTCTACCCCAAGAAGGAGCTGCCCTTCTTCATCCTCTTCACGGCCGGCCTCTGCTCCTTCACCGCCATGCTGGCTCTGCTCACACACCAGTTCCCCGAACTCATGGGAGTGTTTGCTAAAGCTGTGAGTGTGCACACACACGTACCCACACACACCAACAAGTTATCACAGCTACTGTCCAGGTTCCTGGAGGATCTGAATGATTCTGGTGACGACCTTTTCTCCAGCATGACCCTGTCCTGACCTCCACTCTGGGTGACGACGGAGTCAATAGCCTCATCTCCATAAAGTCTGCCACATGGAAGAACATGTCTATTAACCCTCTGACCTTTCTGCTTGTGCCACTTGTCACCCAACAGGCAGTTTGTTGTCATACTTGCTCCACAGGGATGAGCTGACTTGATTTTAATCACCCTGCGGCCTTTGCTCTGGCTCTAAGAGCAGCAGGACTTTAGATTTTTAATCTCTCTCTTCCCTGTTATTGCATTACACACAAAGAAACCAGGATGCATTTCCTCACAACAGGTGTCACAGATGTAATGCGAGTGGTCCAGTGGTGCTGGTGACTGTCATCGATCACAGTCTACTGACTGGTCACCTGACAGAATACGACCATCAGACCATGGGCACTAGAAACACGTCCTAACTGGTGTCGTGTTACGTACAAGCAGAATGCGTTACTCACAGTATGCTGTTTAAATTGACTCTTTTTTTGTCGTTGCTGTGTTTATATTTTTATCTAGTACTATGTTGATATGGCTTCGTCTCCCATTGCCTGGTGCAGGGATCGAATTAGCACTTTGTGATGCACCAGTCCAACCTTTTCTCCCTTCATGCTGCTTTTCAGTTTACAGTAACATCACAAACGGAACACACACACACACACACACACCTTAACCCTGAAGCAGAAAACACTGAGGTGTGAGGCAGACACACAAACCGCTGACGATCAGACAGATACATGCAGGTGGAGACGAGGGTGGTGCGGATAGAGCCTCCCCCTCCACGCACTGTCTCACAAAGTGGGAACCTCCCTGTTACTAACCCCTGTGGTTTTTGTCTGTACATCGGTAGCATGTCTCTTTCCACAGTGACTTGAAGACATGGAGCAGCGAGTCCTGTGTGTGTGTGACCGATTTCCTTTGTCTTCCTTCAGTTTCTCAGCACACTGTTCGCTCCTCTGAACTTCATCATGGAGAAGGTGGAGAGCATCCTGCCGTCCAGCCTCTGGCACCAACTGACCCGCATCTGACCCCGACCGACCGGACCAGAAGACCAGAGCCAAGACCAGAATTGGGAGGCGACCTCCATCCGGATAGAACCAGCTGAACTGAAAGCCAGAACACTAGACTGGACTGGACTGACACGCGTTTGTGCCAAGTTCAGACAAGCTGCCCGAGGACGACAGGAGGAAGCATGGGACACACAGGAAGTAGAACAGCAGGATCCAGAATTGGTTTGGACTTTATTTGATATGTCTGGGGGGTTTTCAATCATTTAAAAGCTGTTCTTTTGTTGTACAGAAACAGGTGATCAGTTGCCATCATTAAAAAGTGAAAAGACAAAAAACACAATAAAGGACTTTTTGTGTATTGCTGCAAGCCGGCTTCTTCTGCCTGTTTGATTCACACAGCGTTTAACGGCAGAGCTGAACCAGGGGGATGACCTTCAGCTGGGTGTCAGACACTGCAGAGGACAAAGCTGCTAGGTTTCTCTAGTCCCATGTTTCCACACACTAACATCTTGCTTATGTGTTAAGTGAGGACCTCAGCATTTGTTAAAGTCCTGCACAAGAGCCAGATATGAAAAGGAACAGTGGATTCAGATTTTCAGCCCCATTTACTACAACACAATCACAACTAATAACGTTTTACAACAAGCTACATTAGTGCAGAATCTTGAATAGAATATTTTCTACTGCTTTAGGTAGACGCTGGTTTTCACGTCTCTGATATCTCTCTGAGAGCGGAGGGACATCTACGAAGCGTAACACAGCAAACGGATATTAACACCAAGCTGAAGTGAAGGAACTATCAGCTACACAGACTGACTGCTGCGCCGCCTCACGTCGCCTTTGTCCAGTTGGTAAATTGGCATTTGAACGCACCGCACAGACGACGGCCAACTAGCACGTACGTTCTGCGCCTGCGTGAGTGAAACAACTCCCCTGACCAGCAGGGGGCGGTGTCTGTATTCACCGTTCAGAACGGGAACGAAGAAGAGCTAGTTGTAAACAAAGCAGCACTTGTTCAACACGGTGGCCGACGGTCGGCTTAGTGTGTCGTGGGCCTTAAAACATGGACAAATTGTCGAATATCTGGGTCCAGCCCTACATGGGATGTGTAATTGGTCACAGTGAACATACATTTTTGTCCCTCACTGCTGTGAGGCAGTGCAGAATTTAGCTGCATTACAAAAGAATAACACTGACTTGGATTAAAACGGTTTCCACGTGATGCTCATTGGAAAAAAAACATGACGTGTGTTTCATGCCGCACAGAGATGAACTTGAACCAGTGGCTGGAAATCAAACTGTACAGCCTGTGTTTGGAAACTATCAGGAAAACATCGATTATGCAGGAACATAGCTAGAACTTAAAAACACCTGAATGTTTTTATTTTCCAGTTTGTTTTGCTTTTGTCATGTTTGCAGGAATGTGGCTGCTTTTCCAAGCTCGGCTGTTAACAGTGAAGAGGATTAACTATTAGAAGTGCCACATAGTAACAAACCAAAACTTTCTGCTGACATATCACCGCTAAACAAACAGCAACGCCTTTGGCTGAAGCTCCTGTGATTAGTTTGCATGGCTGCTGGAAATGACAGGAGTACACAGGCAGTCTGGTTATTTGGTAAAAGTTACACCATACATCTGATTTTAATATACACAGCATATTTACATAAAGCCTGGTCTGGTTAATTCTAAACAGGCTGTTTGCAGTTCAAGGAGGATTCACATGGACTCATTTCGACTTCTTACCTTTAAATGTGGCATATAATCAGCAGAGATTCTGGTACAGGTTGTATTTTTTCCATCCTGTGTCCAGACAGGACACAGAGTGAATAAATATGACAAAAGGCCTGTGAGTGCCACCGTGCAGCAGAACGTGCTGGTGAAAAGCTGAGTGCACTTGTTGATCTCTGCCTCAGATTTGAAGTGTTTCTGTTATTCAGCCTAGTCTCAATAATACAAATTGGATGGACAAAATAACAGAAACACCTGTTGGTACAACAGCAGCACAAGTTGCAGCCTCTAAGACAATCGCACACTTTGAACAACAACTAAACATGCTATGAAGAGTTTAACTGAACCATACAGCAGAGAAGCTCCGAGTCTCACCAGCCTTGCACACACTCGTCTTGCCGAGATGTTTTTGTTATGAACTGTTTGTTTCAGTCTTCAAAACAAGCAGAAAACACGAGTCAAACGAGTGACGTGAGCAGACCCGTATTGACTGGCTCCTTTCCACAACTCAGGTTCTGCTCTGCATTCGCTGAAACAACCTGAGATTCCTGGAGACTGCACAGGGAACAAGAGAACCCTGTCCCTGCTGACAGACACTTGACAGCACTACAATAGATGATATAACTTAACATACTATATATTTTCTGTCCTCGAGGCTGGAGCTTCACTGGTTTTTATGTGGAGTTTACCTCCAAACCACTTAAAACTTGATCCACCAGATCAAATTCTACACGAGCCAATTTCTGCCATGAGCACATCTGTTTCATCAGTATCCCTGTTGTCAGTTCA